TCAGAATACACCCCAGCTCAGCATACTTGTCTTAGAGATGATATACTGTGGTAGAGATGATGGTTGTGTGTCATCCATTTATACTTACAGATTTAGCTGGAACATTGTTTACTTCAGCATAACATCATCCCTCTCACCAACAGTTTGAATGGACTGATCAAAGAGCTGTAATAGACTGATCCCAGGAATACTTATGCTTCAAACTGTTTTGTTTTTTTTCATGTTTGTTTCCGTTTATGCTTCATTTTCAATAATGTTTGTTTAACAGTAAGGGCTCATAATCAAATATTCCGCAGTTATTATAATCTGACTGTTTACAACAAGCCATGTCAACGTAACAAGAATATAAGAAATATTTCTCAATGTCTGACCAACAGTACAAAGATTAAGATATAAATGTGACATAATTGACTAACAGCAATTGAAACAAGGGCATTAAAATCTGACAAACACAACATAAAATCGTCCTATTAGTGATGCTAACATGTGACATCTACTGTACAGGAAATATTTCACTAAAAGCAAAATGTGCATTCAAAGTATCATGTTTTTCATGATTCCTTATGCTAAGAATTAAACTAAAACAACAGCAAATAAGATTCCATATACGCGATTGATTGGAACATTCAATTCAAGAAATAGGGGTGGCAGGTTGTCAAGGGATTCACAACTGAGAAAGAATCTTATCACACAACCTAGCTTACCTGCATTGTGTCTTGCTTTTTGGAGAAACCAAAAATTGGTTTACAAATGGACCGTAGAGCACATTAACATAATTTGACTGAGTAATGTTCAAGTGGTACAATTCTTCCAATGACGGTGGCAAATTCTCACAATTCTTGCAGCAAGAAGATAAAACTACATAAGATGCAATAATGACCTTTGAAAAAATACTTGAAGGCTGATGAAGCCCAATAGTTGCAAGACACTGTGCAGTTACTTCCCTTGGCCATGCCACGATCCAGAGATCGCGAAAAATGCATGATTTCAATGAATTTTAGACTTAAAACAAAGTCAGTGTCATTATGCAAAATTATAGAGAAATTATATATCAACCATAACCTGGTATAAGACGGAGAAATAACTTGTATCTGTTTCTCATGATATCTCCATTACAAAACCTCACAATTTAAAAAATTGATCAGAATTTTTCCCAAAGTGACAAATACACTGCATTCAATTACTAATGACTCACATGCAGTGACCGCCAGACAACATAATGATAGTGGCATTGTGCCACGCTATGAGATTAGGAAGCAGACATAGTTTAAAGAATGTTGTAGTGATACTCTCATTCAGAATTAGCTTAAGTAATACTATAGCAACATGAAAGCAGGATTTAATTTCTTGATGTATCTATATATACTGCAGCATCTTTGCCTGGACTTTTAGACTCAGATTTTTGGCTTCGCTACCTAACGATGATAGAATGACAACTAGATATGATGTGGGAGAGCTGACACACTGCAGTGGAGTTTCACAGTGACCAGCACATATAGCAAAAAACATCCCCACTCGGTGTACATCACCCACAGTTTGCAATAACTAACATCTTATAATTCTTACAATTCTAAAAACACAACCATCCTCTGGTGATACCCAAAATGTAAGAAACTGTCCTTGTAATGTCTTTTTAAAAAAATACAAACTAAAAATAAAATAAACATTCCATTCATCATCAGTTCATAAAACAACGTGTCACGACAATAACAAAGCTGAAGACCTGACACGTATTGTGGATAACAACTTCCTTATTTCTTCGTAACAATGTTTCAGGACTACTTCCTGCCCCTTCATCAGATGGATGTTTCAGGGCTACATCCTGCCCCTTCATCACATGAATGTTTCAGGGCTACATCCTGCCCCTTCATCACATGAATGTTTCAGGGCTACTTCCTGCCCCTTCATCAGATGGATGTTTCAGGGCTACATCCTGCCCCTTCATCGCATGAATGTTTCAGGGCTACATCCTGCCCCTTCATCAGATGGATGTTTCAGGACTACATCCTGCCCCTTCATCGCATGAATGTTTCAGGGCTACATCCTGCCCCTTCATCAGATGGATGTTTCAGGGCTACATCCTGCCCCTTCATCGCATGAATGTTTCAGGGCTACATCCTGCCCCTTCATCAGATGGATGTTTCAGGGCTACATCCTGCCCCTTCATCGCATGAATGTTTCAGGGCTACATCCTGCCCCTTCATCAGATGGATGTTTCAGGGCTACATCCTGCCCCTTCATCGCATGAATGTTTCAGGGCTACATCCTGCCCCTTCATCAGATGGATGTTTCAGGGCTACATCCTGCCCCTTCATCGCATGAATGTTTCAGGGCTACATCCTGCCCCTTCATCACATGAATGTTTCAGGGCTACATCCTGCCCCTTCATCAGATGGGTGTTCCAGGGCTACTTCCTGTCCCTTCATCACATGAATGTTTCAGGGCTACTTCCTGCCCCTTCATCAGATGCATGTTTCAGGGCTACTTCCTGTCCCTTCATCACATGAATGTTTCAGGTTTACTTCCTGCCCCTTCATCAGATGGATGTTTCAGGACTACTTCCTGCCCCTTCATCAGATGGATGTTTCAGGACTACATCCTGCCCCTTCATCAGATGGATGTTTCAGGGCTACTTCCTGTCCCTTCGTCACATGAATGTTTCAGGGCTACATCCTTCCCTTCATCACATGAATGTTTCAGGGCTACTTCTTGCCCCATCATCAAGAATGATTTACTTGAGGCAAAACGTAGCCCTGAAACGTTACAAAGGGTAAAGAAGGTGCTATCCATAAACTGTTTCATGTCTTCATAGTTTTGCCAACTTCTAAATGCCTATCAAAGACTTAATAACAAAACTGTTTCAACTCTCTAACTTAACATCAAACCTATTTACCTATTTGAAGTATGTACCCGGGCTACTGGTAAAACTACACTAAAACTATATTCAGCCCGAAAACCCTGAGGAAAAGGTACTACGATCGTCATTAAACTTATTATGTAATATCTTAAACACCTCATCTTGAAATAATTATGTTTGAAATAAAAAGAAAACAGTCTACATAAACACTTGGAAGCAAAAACAACAAAATTGATTCTCAAACAACAACTTGAACAAGTCAGCATGGGAATCTGCAAAATTTGCTACTTGTCCCGATTGGACAAATGTTATTTTGTAAGCAGAGACAGGACCAGTGCCACTGAAAATATTAGTCCGAATGGAAAATGGTCTGGTCAACAAAAAGAAAACATACTGAGATTTTGAATTTTCAAATATCCAGTTGACCACCTTTACTTCACACTTCTGGTTCTGATAAATGCTTTCTTGCATTTGCCTGCTGGCCCAGCTGAATGGAGAAAGTGCCTGAGAACCCAAATTATATTCCACCTCATGGGCGGATACAGAGGGGGGATGCTGGGGTGCGCACCCCCCTTTTTATTTCGAACAAAATCTTTATTTCTGTATAAATTACCACCAAAGACAATAAATAGATCTTAATTGTGCACCCCCCCTTTTCAAAAAAGGTGTATCCGCCCATGCACCTAACACAATATTGAAAAGTGATAAAGCCCATTATCTATTCCAATGAAAATTAAAAACAAACAACCAGTGAAAATATTAAGAAAAACAACATATCAATCCCTGACTCTTTTCTACTAATCAACAGGCTACTCCAGGTATACTAATGAAAACAAGTTAAGGACCTCCCGATTCTTTCATATTAGTGTAGTTAATCTGTCATGGTATGTCATGGTATGACAGATTCACTATAATAATATGAAAGAATCAGATGGCCTTTAACTTTTTATGAATAGTTCATACTAAATGATTACGTCACTAGAGACACTGCCATGTTTGTTTCATGGGAACCGTGGACGGAATCTGCCAAACCACAAGACTAATGTCAACTTGTACATGAAAGCTGATTGTGCATTTCAAAAATTACAAATTGTCCATTTTGGGTCATCATTTGAACTATCAATGGACCTACAGAATAAGACAACACTATTAGTGGATACAGAACGACTGACAGTACTGTACTTGAATGAAGGGGTTTGTTTGTTTGTTGTTTAATGCCTCACTCAACAATATTCCAGCTATATAACAGCAGTCTATAAATAATCAAGTCTGGACCAGACAATCCAGCAATTGAGTGAGTTGGGTTTAACGCCACTTTTAACATTATTCCAGTTATATCATGTGGTCAGCTTAATGTGGGAGGAAAGCCCGAAGTGATGCAGGTCGCAGACGTTTACCACTTCGGTGAAACCCAGAAGCACGGGTATGGTGCTGACAAACCTAGAAACATAATCGGGGCGAACCGGGTTTCGAACTCACAATCATAGGTTTCTGGCATGCCCAAGGGACGCAACTCTGCACAGCGAATCGCGGTGCCTCAGACGACTGGGCCACCCGTGCCCCCCCTGGTGCTGCTACATACCTAATCATGCTACATTGGTATTATCTCACCTAGTTATTTAATGAACTAGTCACAAGGGTTAGTGACCACCTAAGACTAGCCGCTGTGATAATTCATAGCCGACCAAGTACCACCTCAATTTAACCAAGCGCCTTAAAATACCGTTTTTGTGATGGAAGGATAAGGAATCCTAAGTTGTTTGACATAAACATGTGATAGACGTGTGACCCTCGTGACCCCAATGAAATTGAATAAACGGCAGATGTGTTGTGGTGCTGTTACCAGTAACGGTATGTGCCCTGCTGCAAAAGGCAGATGTGTTCGTGGTGCTGTCACCAGTAACAGTATGTGCCCCGCTGCAAAAGGCAGATGTGTTCATGGCGCTGTTACCAGTAACGGTATGTGCCCTGCTGCAAAAGGCAGATGTGTTTGTGGTGCTGTCACCAGTAACGGTATGTGCCCTGCTGCAAAAGGCAGATGTGTTCATGGCGCTGTTACCAGTAACGGTATGTGCCCTGCTGCAAAAGGCAGATGTGTTTGTGGTGCTGTCACCAGTAACGGAATGTGCCCTGCTGCAAAAGGCAGATGTGTTCATGGCGCTGTTACCAGTAACGGTATGTGCCCTGCTGCAAAAGGCAGATGTGTTTGTGGTGCTGTCACCAGTAACGGTATGTGCCCTGCTGCAAAAGGCAGATGTGTTCATGGCGCTGTTACCAGTAACGGTATGTGCCCTGCTGCAAAAGGCAGATGTGTTTGTGGTGCTGTCACCAGTAACGGTATGTACCCTGCTGCAAAAGGCAGATGTGTTTGTGGTGCTGTCACCAGTAACGGTATGTGCCCTGCTGCAAAAGGCAGATGTGTTTGTGGTGCTGTCACCAGTAACGGTATGTGCCCTGCTGCAAAAGGCAGATGTGTTCGTGGTGCTGTCACCAGTAACGGTATGTGCCCTGCTGCAAAAGGCAGATGTGTTCGTGGTGCTGTCACCAGTAACGGTATGTGCCCTGCTGCAAAAGGCAGATGTGTTCGTGGTGCTGTCACCAGTAACGGTATGTGCCCTGCTGCAAAAGGCAGATGTGTTCATGGTGCTGTTACCAGTAACGGTATGTGCCCTGCTGCAAAAGCAAACTAACCAAATATCTGGATCCTCCCTAAAATACGTGGCCCACACCTTCTTTTCACCAATGCCACTGCACATCTTTAACACATCTGTGTCTACCAGTCCTAAATGACATACAACCAACACAGGCCCAGGCCCACATGTCAAGACACAATTTGAAAAGAAAAAATAACATTCTTTTGATTAATAGTGACAAACAGCTACCAGGGAGTCAATGAAACAAGCAATGCTGTAGAAAGCAAACAAACACTGCTGGCAATGTAGAACAATACAAGCATTTAGCCATGATAAATGTATTACAAACACTAGACTTTCATCTAAATATCTTTTAAAGTAATAAAAGCTGTATAATTCTATGAATTAAAATCCAAATTGATTCCAGCAATGTTGCAGCTACAGACAGTAGAAGGTGGCAACTGCGGCCATGATTAGATGAAGCAAGGTAATACGTCCAAGGATGTTGACAGATGAAAATCTGACAATTTATTTATTACGACCTTAATCTGAGTCAAGTACTTGAAGGCTGATCCAGGGAACAAATGGCAGGGGGGCTAGCACAAGGGATGCTCCTAGATGTAGTGATTGAAATGTACGTGACACATCAGAGAATGATTAACATGGTAACCATGGTAACTGTACACACATATAATATACATCGCTGAATACTTGAAATTTACAAACATGACATGAAATATACAATGTTGTCAGAAACTGAAATAAGCTTGGCATAATGTTGAAAGCTTTAGTCCTTACATTTTAGAATATGTTACAAGGAATCACACTGTTTCTTTGCCCAAATCGGTTTGCTTCAGAATAAAACTAAGAATCTTAAAAAAGTATCAGTATTTAAAATACATTTATTTTCAATGATCATCCGTGATGAGTTTTGTTAATTACACACATTTACTATCAATAAAAGAACATGGCCAACGAAAATGATGTGATAAATTAGAAATATATTCAGAAGTATGTTTTGTCGCGTTCTGGACTACTTTATGCATGTAGACATGCAAACCCTGTTGTAGCAGAGATTTCACTAGTAAAACGAAGACTTAACGGCCTAAGAAAGAATGCCAAGTTACACAACATTGTATACAGTCATGAATGACATTCACTCAGCCTTTATTTCTATTTTCTTTCCAACGGGTTGCCGCATTTTCTTCTTCTTAACAAATCCTTTGGCTTCCTTCATCAAAGATCTCACATCCTCTTCCTCTGGGTCATAGTCCGAGTCTTCCTCCTCTGGATCTCCGCATGAAGATTCGCTCGCATAAGACTGCCCAATGTCATCGATAAAACTGTCATTGTAGTCATATGTGTTCGGTTCTCCGTTGTCGTCGTCATCTTTAGCAAGCACGCTTGTTTTACCTGCAGTGTGAGTCAGAGAGGGAGTATTCATGTTCAAATACCCTGTTTTGGGTAAGGCCAGATTTATTTGGCGTGGTACAGATTTTTGTCCCAAAATAATTGGTCGGTAGGTCAAAAATAAAACAGAATATAAAAATTCCCCAAAACATTATGTAGGTGGTGAGTGAGTGAGTGAGTGAGTGAGTGAGTGAGTATGGTTTTACGCTGCTTTTAGCAATATTCCAGCAATATCACGGCGGGGGACACCAGAAATGGGCTTCACACATTGTACCCATGTCGGGAATCGAAACCCAGGTCTTCGGCGTGACGAGCGAACGCTTTAACCACTAGGCTACCCGACCGCCCCTATGTAGGTAGTGAAAAAAGTGGAGACTATAATGATAGTATTTTGATATAATAATACATTTATTTTGATAGTGACAGAAGATGAGTTACATAATGTGGTACAATATATTTTACAATGTTGATAAACATTGTGTTTTCAAATTGTTGGTGTTATTTAGGAGATAACCTAATTTTGAACCGAGCACTTTAGCGCAAGGTTCCAAATTATAATAAAGAGGTATCTATTCTACAGTGGGACTACATCAAATTTCAAAACACAGTAGGTTATCTCCATTCTACCATGAGGGCAACAACGCTTTGAAAACGGCGTTCTTTTGCAACTCGTAATAACACAGGTGCACAGGTCCGCAATCTTAGAACATTCCAAAAAGTGGTCACAGTTAGTTATATATATATGTAACAATTATTACTAAAGAACTCACGGAAATGAAAAAAAACTTTTTTTTTCGATCTCAGATTTTAAATAAATGCAGTTAATATACAAAATATATAAATATTCAAACAACCTAATTAGTACTAATTGGGCCTTGGCACAAATACAGCGTATCAAAGGTTTATATGTCTTTTTACATGTAAAAGTGTGTAAAAATATGACTATTGTGAAACTGAGCATAACCAGGTGTTAGTAGATCAAGGTGAATGTCCATGACCTATAACACCTTGACAACAGGTGAAAACAGGTGCTTGAAACCCACGTGCATGTGATTTGTCAGTGGTTAGTGATTTGTGAGTGGCATTGTGGGATAGTGAATCATCGTCAAAATATCAGAACGTAAAAGTAACATATTCCCTTCTCAAACAACAACTTACATGTCATTATTATTATGTACATAAACACAGCTGTTATTTTTATTGTTGTTTTGATAACTTTTACCTAGGCATAATGCCTATAGCCTGTTTCTGCCATGTCATTTTGGACTTAGTTTTATTTTTGAACGTGAAAGTGCTTACAAATTACCTCCTGTAAAGTACATTTTGTATTGAGCACTGAGATAAAACTAGCAAATCCAGACTAGTACTTTTCCAGTTGTTTTGTTATTTCGTATTTACATCTATGTAATGCTTTGTGTCGATTATTAAATCCAGCAAAACAGTTTTTTTTCCATTTCCATGAGTACTTTAAAGTTCAAGATTAAAAAACACCATAGTCGTGAGTAGTTCATAATAAGTGTTCAAAACACATAGTTTTTCAAAAGAAGTTGACAAATAACACTCCTAACTTAATCCAAAGAGAGATGTTTTAATTTCTATCAAACTGTTGCACACTTTTGTACACTGTGGACTGGCTGTCGTTTCTCGGAAATTTGTGATAGAGGTCATTTCTTGGAAATCGAACATGCCATCATTTCTATTGTAGGGGTGACGGGTAATAGAAAAAGGTTTTAAAATGCTAAACAAATATATTTCTACAGCAAACTTTATGAATTAACATTCTAATATATATTTAACATGCCTAAGAGTTATTAGTCAGATAGCAATTACCCCCAGTAAACAATAATAACATCAAAGTAAATGCCTCTCCACCCTGAACTTGGATGTGGCAGAAGTTGACCTACATCACGGTTACTCACACCTCACAGCTGTCAATGGCTGACAATCATGTGTTTACATTAACTAGATCTAGTTAAAAGAAAAAGATGACAACCCCGATCTATGATGTGGTTCAACATTTACCTGTAGATTTACTGGGATTGATCGAGCCTGCGGGTACATTCATATGATTACTAATGGAACTGAGTATGACTGAACAGCCGCTGTTTAGGGTGCAGACGAGCCGGATATTTTGAAAAGAGGAATCTCTATGGTGTGACCTGTCAATTTCAAGATTTCACGGATCCAAAGCCAAATAGTGACAGAACTTAGACATTTCTGGTCCAGGAATAGTAGGTCGTGTATGATTTTCATAATTGTGGGTGTTCTGAAATGAATTTCATCAAGTTTGATAAGCTGTCACTTCAGTTGGGACATTGTTTTCGTGGACTTTTGAAGGGAAGTGTTTTCTGATGCACTTTCAAATCCCCTCCTGCCAAATTCTAACGGTGGTGGTTGACGGAGATGGCAATGGATATTGATCAGAAAAAGGTTTGTAAACACCATGTTGTCATGAATAAAATGTCTTCAAACACATTTTATTATGTTATATTTCACTTTCATTGTCGGTTGTTTCAATAATGAAATTACCTGTTCGTGGGTTTCAGAAAAAGTTACCAAAAAAATGAACAATTATTATTTTCTCAACAAAATTTTTTAGATATCACTCTTTCACTTATTTTGAATGTGTGAATCTTTGAATTATACCTCCCCACCCTGAACTGAGAACCGTCCTAACGTGTCCCGGTTGTCACTATATCTGCACTGCACTCTCAGTTATGGCTGCTAGAGAAATTGTAGGAAACCAGAAGACAACCCAGTACTGTGCGTGTGATGCTGTTCAACATTAACATGTTGACTAACTATCCCTGCTGGTGTGATGTTTTTTCAAACAATTTTTATAATGTTATATTTTACTTTCATTGTCGGTTGTTTACCTCTTTTTAACCAATCAGAATCAAGCATTCATCAATGTCATGGTAGAATGGGTAATTGATCTACAGAAATTGTACCATTTGAAACCTGTGGCAAATGCTGTCAGTTCCAAATGACATTTGGTAACGTTTATCTCCAAAGTATGCACACACAAAAAGAATGATGTTTTTCAAGATTCAAGAGAAAATCTAGCTATGACCAATAAAGTGATCCAAGATGAAGTTTTTATCTTGTTGAAAACTTAGTTAGGATCAACATGTTCAAATATATCAGAAACTCTTCAAGAAAATCTCTTCTTTTTTATCAATTTTAGCTTTACCTATTAACTATGTGTTGTAAAGTTCCAGACATGCAAGTGTTGAAATGAAGAGGATAAGTGTCTTTCATATGAACACATTGAATTACCTTCACAATTACATCCAAGCTATTTCATTCCTTAAATTATGCAGATCCTGTGAGCCACAAAGGGTCCTCAAATACCTCGTGATTACATACCTTGTCCTTACCATACCATGTCCTTACCATACCTTGTCCTTACATAATCCGTCCTTAATAATAACATAACCTGTCCTTACTATACCATGTCCTTACCATACCTTGTCCTTAACATATCTCATCCTTAACATATGTTGTCCTTACATAACCCGTCCTTAATAATAATAACATACCCTGTCCTTACTATTCCATGTCCTTACAATACCTTGTCCTTAACATACCTTGTCCTTAACATATCTCGTCCTCAATATACTCTGTCCTTACTATACCTTGTCCTCACCATAACATGTCCTTAATATATGTTGTCCTTACCTAGTCCCTACCATACCTTGTCACTAACATACCTTGTCCTTACTATACCTTGTCCTTGCCTTGTCCTTACTTACCTCGTCCTTAACATACCCTGTCCTTAACATATTATCCTTACCTTGTCCTTACCAAACCTTGTCCTTACCTAGTCCTTACCATACCCTGTCCTAACTATAGCTTGTCCTTCCCTTACCATACCTTTTCCTTAATATATGTTATCCTTACCTTGTCCTCAACATATGTTATCCTTACCTTGTCCTTCCCTTACCTTGTCCTTACTATACCTTGTCCTTAACATATGTTATCCTTACCTTGTCCTTCCCTGACCTTGTCCTTACCATACCCTGTCCTTACTATACCCTGTCCTTACCGAACCCTGTCCTTACCATACCCTGTCATTCCCTTACCTTGTCCTTAACATATGTTATCCTTACCTTGTCCTTCCCTTACCTTGTCCTTACTATACCTTGTCCTCAACATATGTTATCCTTACCTTGTCCTTCCCTTACCTTGTCCTTACTATACCTTGTCCTTAACATATGTTATCCTTACCTTGTCCTTCCCTGACCTTGTCCTTACCATACCCTGTCCTTACTATACCCTGTCCTTACCGAACCCTGTCCTTACCATACCCTGTCATTCCCTTACCTTGTCCTTAACATATGTTATCCTTACCTTGTCCTTCCCTTACCTTGTCCTTACTATACCCTGTCTTTACCATTACATGTCCTTACCATAACTTGTCCTTACCATACCTTGTCCTTACCATAACTTGTCCTTACCATAACTTGTCCTTACCATACCCTGTCCTTACCATAACTTGTCCTTACTATTCCTTGTCCTTACCATAACTTGTTTTTACCATACCTTGTCCTTACCATACCTTGTCTTTACCATAACTTGTCCTTACTATTCCTTGTCCTTCCCATACCCTGCCCTTACTATACCCTTTTCTTACCATACCATCCTTAACATACCCTGTCCTTACCATACCCTGTCCTAACTATACCCTGTCCTAACTATACCTTGTCCTTAACATACCCTGTCCTTACCATACCCGCTCCTCACCATACCTTGTCTTTACCATAACTTGTCCTTACCATACCTTGTCCTTACCATACCCTGTCCTTGCCATACCTTGTCTTTACCATAACTTGTCCTTACCATAACTTGTCCTTACCATACCCTTTCCTAACCATAACTTGTCCTTACTATTCCTTGTCCTTACCATAACTTGTCCTTACCATACCTTGTCCTTACCATACCTTGTCCTTCCAATACCCTGCCCTTACTATACCCTGTCCTAACTATACCTGGTCCTTAACATACCCTGTCCTTACCATACCTTGTCTTTACCATAACTTGTCCTTACTATTCCTTGTCCTTCCCATACCCTGCCCTTACTATACCCTTTTCTTACCATACCAACCTTAACATACCCTGTCCTTACCATACCTTGTCCTTAAAATACCCTGTCCTTACCATACCCGCTCCTTACCATACATTGTCTTTACCATAACTTGTCCTTACCATACCTTGTCCTTACCATACCCTGCCCTTACCATACCTTGTCTTTACCATAACATGTCCTTACTATTCCTTGTCCTTACCATAACTTGTCCTTACCATACCTTGTCCTTACCAAACCTTGTCTTTACCATAACCTGTCCTTACTATTCCTTGTCCTTACCATACCTTGTCCTTACCATACCTTGTCTTTACCATAACTTGTCCTTACCATAACTTGTCCTTACCATACCTTGTCTTTACCATAACTTGTCCTTACCATACCTTGTCCTTACCATAACTTGTCCTTACCATACCTTGTCCTTACCATACCCTGTCCTTACCATAACTTGTCCTTACCATAACTTGTCCTTACCATAACTTGTCCTTACCATACCTTGTCCTTAGCATACCTTGTCTTTACCATACCCTGTCCTTACCATAACTTGTCCTTACTATTCCTTGTCCTTACCATAACTTGTCCTTACCATACCTTGTCTTTACCATAACTTGTCCTCACTATTCCTTGTCCTTACCATAACTTGTCCTTACCATACCTTGTCCCTACCATACCTTGTCTTTACCATAACTTGTCCTTTCCATACCTTGTCCTTACCATACCTTGTCTTTACCATAACTTGTCCTTACCATACCTTGTCCTTACCATACCCTGTCCTTACCATAACTTGTCCTTACTATTCCTTGTCCTTACCATAACTTGTCCTTACCATACCTTGTCCTTACCATAACTTGTCCTTACCATACCCTGTCCTTACCATAACTTGTCCTTACTATTCCTTGTCCTTACCATAACTTGTCCTTACCATACCTTGTCCTTACCATAACTTGTCCTTACCATACCCTGTCCTTACCATAACTTGTCCTTACTATTCCTTGTCCTTACCATAACTTGTCCTTACCATACCTTGTCCTTACCATAACTTGTCCTTACCACTGAATAAACAAGAGATAGAAATATTATGATGTTTATTGCAAACACATCCATAGTAAAAGGTTCATCTAAAATAAAACAATTTGAATATAATCTACATTTAAATCCTATTCTGCTACATGTATATCACAGCAGCCTGTGAAAAGTCAAGTCCATGGCATCAGGGTACGATGAGATTCAAATGAACAATGTCACCCAAACTAATTTAGCCACCTCTTATGACAAGCAATAGAAAGTTTGTGAAATGTTCTGAAGACCACAAGTCCTCTCACGATGTAACCGAGAGAGGGGTTTAATGCCACTTTGAACAGTATTTCAGTTACATCAAGTCAGCTTCATGCGGGAAGAAAGCCCGAAGTGATGCAGGTCGCAGACGTTTACCACTTCGGTGAAACCCATGAGCATGGGTATGGTGCTGACAAAGAGTAAGATAATCAGGGATTGGAACCCATGATACTTGTTTCCTGGCGTACCTAAGGGGTGCAACTATGCAATGCAAATTGTGTCAGACTACTGACTGGAGCGGAGAGCACATACACTTATAGTAAAGTAAGGAGATGGGGATGTGCTGGAGTGGAGAGCACATACACATATAGTGAAGTAGGGAGATGGGGATGTCCTGGAGTGGAGAGCACATACACATATAGTGAAGCAAGGAGATGGGGATGTCCTGGAGTGGAGAGCACATACACATATAGTAAAGTAGGGAGGTGGGGATGTCCTGGAGTGGAGAGCACATACACATATAGTGAAGTAGGGAGGTGGGGATGTCCTGGCGTGGAGAGCACATACACATATAGTGAAGTAGGGAGATGGGGATGTCCTGGAGTGGAGAGCACATACACATATAGTAAAGTAAGGAGATGGGGATGTCCTGGAGTGGAGAGCACATACACATATAGTGAAGTAGGGAGATGGGGATGTCCTGGAGTGGAGAGCACATACACATATAGTGAAGTAAGGAGATGGGGATGTCCTGGAGTGGAGAGCACATACACATATAGTGAAGTAAGGAGATGGGGATGTCCTGGAGTGGAGAGCACATACACATATAGTGAAGTAGGGAGATGGGGATGTCCTGGAGTGGAGAGCACATACACATATAGTAAAGTAAGGAGATGGGGATGTCCTGGAGTGGAGAGCACATACACATATAGTGAAGTAAGGAGATGGGGATGTCCTGGAGTGGAGAGCACATACACATATAGTGAAGTAAGGAGATGGGGATGTCCTGGAGTGGAGAGCACATACACATATAGTGAAGTAAGGAGATGGGGATGTCCTGGAGTGGAGAGCACATACACCTGGTGAAGGAAGCTCTAGACGATAGTTATTGAAGCAACTAAGCATGCAACTCTTATTCCTTTTTGGACAATACATAAGAATTGTTGATAATCAATTTCTGAGTAAATATTGCAAGTCTTCAAATATGCTCAGGACAAAATATATTCTTCCTGCAACAATACAATAAAGCTTATATTTCATAACTGTGATCGAAAGTTGATTTCATATGAATATTTCAAAGATGATTGTCGTGTAAATGTCTTAGCATGTCAATTTGAGTGAGTGAGTGAATGTTGTTTTATGCCACAGTCAGCACTATTCCAGCAATATATCACGCCTGCATGTGAAACTGAAGAAAAGGTCTACCTATCGTACACCTACCATCCTTTTTTGCTGGTTTTCTCTTGGGCTGATCATCTGGTTTCTTTTTATGAGAATATTTCTTTAAATGGTCGGCATTTTTCCTGCAAGAGAGTTGCATTATAGGTCTCGTCACTTTTAATAAATCTGAGCTATATGAGGAGTCTGTATGTACATGAGAAGTATGTATGTACATGAGAAGTCTGTATGTACATGAGAAGTCTGCATGTACATGAGGAGTCTGTTATTACAAGAGAAGTCTGTATGTACATGAGAAGTCTGCATGTACATGAGAAGTCTGTTATTACAAGAGAAGTCTGTATGTACATGAGAAGTCTGCATGTACATGAGAAGTCTGTATGTACATAAGAAGTCTGCATGTACATGAGGAGTCTGTATGTACATGAGAAGTCTGTATGTACATGAGGAGTCTGTATGTACATGAGAAGTCTGTATGTACATGAGAAGTCTGTATGTACATGAGGAGTCTGTATGTACATGAGAAGTCTTTATGTACATGAGGAGTCTGTATGTACAAGAGAAGTCTGTATGTACATGAGGAGTCTGTATGTACATGAGAAGTCTGTATGTACATGAGAAGTCTGTATGTACATGAGAAGTCTTTATGTACATGAGGAGTCTGTATGTACAAGAGAAGTCTGTATGTACATGAGAAGTCTGTATGTACATGAGAAGTCTGTATGTACATAAGGAGTCTGTATGTACATGAGAAGTCTGTATATACATGAGGAGTCTATGTACATGAGAAGTCTGTATGTACATGAGAAGTCTGTATGTACATGAGGAGTCTGTATGTACATGAGGAGTCTGTATGTACATGAGAAGTCTATGTACATGAGAAGTCTGTATGTACATGAGGAGTCTGTATGTACATGTGAAGTCTGTATGTACATGAGAAGTCTATGTACATGAGAAGTCTGTATGTACATGAGGAGTCTGTATGTACATGAGAAGTCTATGTACATGAGATCTGTATGTACATGAGGAGTCTGTTATTACAAGAGGAGTCTGTATGTACATGAGGAGTCTGTATGTACATGAGAAGTCTGTATGTACATGAGGAGTCTGTATGTACATGAGAAGTCTCTATGTACATGAGGAGTCTGTATGTACATGTGAAGTCTGTATGTACATGAGAAGTCTGTATGTACATGAGGAGTCTGTATGTACATGAGAAGTCTGTATGTACATGAGAAGTCTATGTACATGAGAAGTCTGTATGTACATGAGGAGTCTGTATGTACATGAGAAGTCTGTATGTACATGAGGAGTCTGTATGTACATGAGGAGTCTGTTATTACAAGAGGAGTCTGTATGTACATGAGAAGTCTGTATGTACATGAGAAGTCTGTATGTACATGAGGAGTCTGGATGTACATGAGTCTGTATGTACATGAGAAGTCTGTATGTACATGAGGAGTCTGTATGTACATGAGAAGTCTGTATGTACATGAGGAGTCTGTATGTACATGTGAAGTCTGTATGTACATGAGAAGTCTGTATGTACATGAGGAGTCTGTATGTACATGAGAAGTCTGTATGTACATGAGGAGTCTATGTACAAGAGAAGTCTGTATGTACATGAGGAGTCTGTATGTACATGAGGAGTCTGGATGTACATGAGGAGTCTGGATGTACATGAGGAGTCTGTATGTACATGAGAAGTCTGTATGTACATGAGGAGTCTGTATGTACATGAGAAGTCTGTATGTACATGAGGAGTCTATGTACAAGAGAACTCTGTATGTACATGAGGAGTCTGTATGTACATGAGGAGTCTGGATGTACATGAGGAGTCTGGATGTACATGAGGAGTCTGTATGTACATGAGAAGTCTGTTTGTACATGAGGAGTCTGTATGTACATGAGAAGTCTATGTACATGAGAAGTCTGTATGTACATGAGGAGTCTGTTATTACAAGAGAAGTCTGTATGTACATGAGAAGTCTGCATGTACATGAGAAGTCTGTATGTACATAAGAAGTCTGCATGTACATGAGGAGTCTGTATGTACATGAGAAGTCTGTATGTACATGAGGAGTCTGTATGTACATGAGAAGTCTGTATGTACATGAGAAGTCTGTATGTACATGAGGAGTCTGTATGTACATGAGAAGTCTTTATGTACATGAGGAGTCTGTATGTACAAGAGAAGTCTGTATGTACATGAGGAGTCTGTATGTACATGAGAAGTCTGTATGTACATGAGAAGTCTGTATGTACATGAGAAGTCTGTATGTACATGAGAAGTCTGTATGTACATGAGGAGTCTGTATGTACATGAGGAGTCTGTATGTACATGAGAAGTCTATGTACATGAGAAGTCTGTATGTACATGAGGAGTCTGTATGTACATGTGAAGTCTGTATGTACATGAGAAGTCTATGTACATGAGAAGTCTGTATGTACATGAGGAGTCTGTATGTACATGAGAAGTCTATGTACATGAGATCTGTATGTACATGAGGAGTCTGTTATTACAAGAGGAGTCTGTATGTACATGAGGAGTCTGTATGTACATGAGAAGTCTGTATGTACATGAGGAGTCTGTATGTACATGAGAAGTCTCTATGTACATGAGGAGTCTGTATGTACATGTGAAGTCTGTATGTACATGAGAAGTCTGTATGTACATGAGGAGTCTGTATGTACATGAGAAGTCTGTATGTACATGAGAAGTCTATGTACATGAGAAGTCTGTATGTACATGAGGAGTCTGTATGTACATGAGAAGTCTGTATGTACATGAGGAGTCTGTATGTACATGAGGAGTCTGTTATTACAAGAGAAGTCTGTATGTACATGAGAAGTCTGTATGTACATGAGAAGTCTGTATGTACATAAGGAGTCTGTATGTACATGAGAAGTCTGTATATACATGAGGAGTCTATGTACATGAGAAGTCTGTATGTACATGAGAAGTCTGTATGTACATGAGGAGTCTGTATGTACATGAGGAGTCTGTATGTACATGAGAAGTCTATGTACATGAGAAGTCTGTATGTACATGAGGAGTCTGTATGTACATGTGAAGTCTGTATGTACATGAGAAGTCTATGTACATGAGAAGTCTGTATGTACATGAGGAGTCTGTATGTACATGAGAAGTCTATGTACATGAGATCTGTATGTACATGAGGAGTCTGTTATTACAAGAGGAGTCTGTATGTACATGAGGAGTCTGTATGTACATGAGAAGTCTGTATGTACATGAGGAGTCTGTATGTACATGAGAAGTCTCTATGTACATGAGGAGTCTGTATGTACATGTGAAGTCTGTATGTACATGAGAAGTCTGTATGTACATGAGGAGTCTGTATGTACATGAGAAGTCTGTATGTACATGAGGAGTCTGTATGTACATGAGAAGTCTGTATGTACATGAGGAGTCTGTATGTACATGAGGAGTCTGTTATTACAAGAGGAGTCTGTATGTACATGAGAAGTCTGTATGTACATGAGAAGTCTGTATGTACATGAGGAGTCTGGATGTACATGAGTCTGGATGTACATGAGAAGTCTGTATGTACATGAGGAGTCTGTATGTACATGAGAAGTCTGTATGTACATGAGGAGTCTGTATGTACATGTGAAGTCTGTATGTACATGAGAAGTCTGTATGTACATGAGGAGTCTGTATGTACATGAGAAGTCTGTATGTACATGAGGAGTCTATGTACAAGAGAAGTCTGTATGTACATGAGGAGTCTGTATGTACATGAGGAGTCTGGATGTACATGAGGAGTCTGGATGTACATGAGGAGTCTGTATGTACATGAGAAGTCTGTATGTACATGAGGAGTCTGTATGTACATGAGAAGTCTGTATGTACATGAGGAGTCTATGTACAAGAGAACTCTGTATGTACATGAGGAGTCTGGATGTACATGAGGAGTCTGGATGTACATGAGGAGTCTGTATGTACATGAGAAGTCTGTTTGTACATGAGAAGTCTGTATGTACATGAGAAGTCTGTATGTACATGAGGAGTCTGTATGTACGTCTGAATGACAGCTGCCAAACATTACAGGAAGCACAGAGTAGCGTTCCATCACAATGAATATCAGCATGCAAAGGGAGATCACTCATTGCTTAAGCAACCACTGCCCAAGCAACATGCAACAAGGTTGTCTTGATTGGAAAGTTTAGTATCACTAAATCGACTTAAAAGTATCACAATAAAGCGATTAGCATGTAAATGAGATAATCTGTAAGTGATAGATAATATATTCCTATCAAGACCTTCAATTAATCAACTTAATCATACACATAAACTTAGTTCATCCATAAATGTTTAAAATCGAATGTCCAGCCAAGCAAATAATAGAAATAATTACATTTTTGTTGATCCAGGTCCCTCCCAAAGCATTTCCACTTTCATAATCTGCCCATTACACCTAACTGCCTCTAACTTACAGAGCCTCACAGCACAAATCATGTGCAACATACCCATTACCCCATCTGATCAGGAAATGCACCACACAAACAGACAATCTTTATACCATACCAATTGCTTGCCATATCTTTAATTACATGCACAAAGTATGTATTCAAAAGCTCCTGCCCAACATCTAACATGTCATCCCATATCAATCAACAAATGCCTTGCACTTAACACCCTACATTTTACACCCCAATAATACACCTAATACCCTCATCCTACACCTTACACCATCCCTACTCCCAACAACACATACACCAGATAATACACCCTACTCCCAACAACACATACACCAGATAATACACCCTACATCCTCCCACACAGTACACCCTTCTCCTAACACAAACACCAGATAATACACCCTACATCCTCCCACATAGTACACCCTTCTCCTAACACAAACACCAGATAATGCACCCTACATCCTCCCACATAGTACACCCTTCTCCTAACACAAACACCAGATAATACACCCTACATCCTCCCACATAGTACACCCTTCTCCTAACAACACATACAACAGATAATACACCCTACATCCTCCCACACAGTACACCCTTCTCCTAACACAAACACCAGATAATACACCCTACATCCTCCCACATAGTACACCCTTCTCCTAACACAAACACCAGATAATGC